TCTGGCTATGGCAGCAGGGTCCAGACCTCCCCAACGTGGTTCTTTGGAAAGCTGTCCTGTCTTGGAATCCAAGCTGGTGGGGAATAGAATGCCTTTACCATTAAATGTGGACTCCCATCTGACTAGACAATGGAAGCCTGGACTGCCCCCAAACAGTATACAAGGAGGGATTTCACTGCAGTGTGGTCTGCCTGGATCCAGGGCAATGCAGTAAGATCCTTTGGACCAGCAAACTCCCCTGGTGCCTTTAGGATGTGGCTAGATTTATAAATATTTGATTGGCACACACTCTGTTGAAGAACATTTCCATCTGTGTGGTGAGTGATGCCGAGCATCCCCCTCCCCCACAGCTTCCTTCCTATGTGCTGGGGATGCTAGGGGCTGTAGGCGCCATGAGGAGGCTGAAGCTTAGGGATTCTGAGGAGTGTGCCATTCCTCTACAGCTGCTGTTCTAGCTGATGATCTTACTGAAGAGTAAGAGCTGACATGCCTTCTCCAGAGAGGAAACTCTGGCAGGAAGAGCAGACAAGCATAGAACTCTTTGCCTTGGCTCTAGTGGCTTCTGTCCCAGAGAAGTTAGATGGGAAGGGCTTGCTGGGCTAGGGCCTGGGCAGGCTGTGGTTTTGTCCCAGGGAATTGAGATGGGCAGGGCTTACTGGGTTAGGGCCTGGGTAGGCTGTGGCTCTACATCCGTTGTCAGGAGCTCCAATTGGGACAGTCTTGGAGAAGCTGGGATGTAAAGTCACCAGCAGTTCCGTGAACAAGCTTAAGATTTATTTAATGGCCAGCTGTCAGATGGTTGGATGAGGAGGCACAGTGAGCCCAAGGAAGAGGACGATAGTGACCCTGGAGACTGGCACTGTTTTGAACATTTAGTTGCCTGGCAGTATGCTGAGCACTCTTAGAAATATCACATTTCACATTCCCACTTTTCATAAGTGATAAAGAACTGTTCACATTCTTATTTCTAAAACAAGAAAACTTAGACGCATAGAGGAAACGTAACTGCCATAAGGTGTCACAGATGTGGTAAATACAGTCAGGGAACATCAACCTGCCCTTGCCTGTCTGTGCCTCATGATAGTATAAATATGTGATTGTATTTAGTTTGTGGAGTGAAAATGCTGTCTGTCATGTTGATAGTTTTAGATTGGTGGTGGTATCCTCAGGGAATGGTCTTAGTATTAGAACAGAAGGGCTAGGCTCCACAAACTGTCCCTGTGAGGGGCCGGTCACACCCTGTTCACTTTAGGGTTTTCAGCGCAACATTGACTAGTGACCTCAGAGGATTGTTGTTGGGTGGAAATGACCTTCTGTGAAGGGCCTGGCACTTATCAGTGCTTGACAGACATTTCTTGTGATATTGTTGGGTTGAAATTTATCTGCCAACAATACAAGTCAGTCAGTCACTCATCAAACGAATGTTTACTGGGCATTGAACCAAGGTGGCAGGCAATATGCTGAACACAAAAGTTGCAGTGTTGAACATCAAGAGCAATGTCCTTGTCCTTGGGGGGCCTGCAGGGGAGAAGCCCAGTAAACAACCTCATAAGGAATTGCAGAAGTGTAGCTGCAAGGAAGAGTGTACAGATCTGTAGCATCCTTCCCATACTCCGTGTCCAACATGGAACTGATCGTCTTCCCCTGATCCCATGGCTCTCCCTAGACTCTCTCACAGTCACATATCTACCTGGGAAGGGCTTTCTGGGCTAGGGCCTGGGCAGGCTGTGGTTTTGTCCCAGGGAATTTAGATGGGCAATCTTCTCACAAGCTGCATCCCCAGGGGTAGCCCACACTGTGTCTGACTCTATCGTGGACACTATGACATTGTAACTAGTGTTTATCTGATATAGGGACAATTGCCCAGAGCTGTGGCCCAAGCCTTGGTGAAGGCACAAGCTCTGCCTCCCCTCTCTACAGGAATCTGGTAGAGACATTTTACTTAGAACTATTTTGGGATCTCCAGTGCACAGCATCCTTTAGAGTTTAATACCATGGATAAGGTACCTGGAAACTATTTCTCCCAAGGGTAAGACAGAGAAATTTGGATAATTTCCTCACTCTGTGTACAGCACATCAACTCATTGAGGACAAAGAGAAGCTACGAAAGGAATGAACTTTTTGTCTCGCTAGGCTCTGAGGCAAGCTCTATCTTGTGGTGTCTGTGATTTACCTAAATATCTGCCTGACTTTTAGGGGTGCTTTTCCTTCAGAAAACTTTGAGATG